GACGGCACTTAACAACAATAAGCAACCTAGCCCTGACCCCCAACAAACTCAGATCCCCTCAAAGCCTTGCTTTCCCTTTTGTTGCTGTTCAGTGCCGTGGAGTCGATTCCGACCCATAGCGACACTATAGGGTTTCCGAGGAGTGGCTGGTGTGCTTGAACCGCCCACCTTGTGGTCCAAACCGATTTCGCAGTCCAGCGCATAAGCCACAGCGCCACACTTTTTCTAGTGGGACTTCAGTCCCCAGACCGACGGTCCGTAAGCTCCCTCCAAGGCAAGGCCCCTCCACTAGTCCCAGCCGACTCCTAACCCTAGAGGCGGTGCTCTAGGAAGCTCAGTTTTCTCACCGTTCACTGTCAGTCTTGCTTCAGCAGCTCCGCCCCCGAGGCCCGAAGTCCCCGGCTCAGCCCGGCACACATAGTCACCTGCATCCTCCATCCCTACGGACCGAAGACGTAATGTGGACCCGAAGCTTAGCACCTGGGGCAGGAAAGAGGAGTCAGGGCGGGAGCTCTGGAAACGTCTCCAAGCACCCCAGCCTCTCACCAGGCTCCAGATTGGGCCTCACCTGCGCCTCCCCGCGGCGGGTCCAGGTCACCCGTGGGCGTGGGTTCCCACGCCAGGCACAGGTGAAGGAAGCGTCTTCCCCGACGTCCACGGAAGTGGGTTCCGGCTTTGCATGGAGAGTCGGCCCGACTGGAGGAAAGAGGGACGGGATCATGGCTCAGAAACACCACACAGAAAGGACCCAAGTCTAGGCTCCTGGCCCACAAAAATGTGCCCGCTAATCGTCCCACCCTCCCCACTTTCGCCCCTCCCCTCTCCCACTGTGGTCCTGACTTCCAACCTATTCCAAACTTACTTTGTCCTAGCTCCGCCCCCCATGCCTTCTCGGCCACGCCTGCTGCTGTCACTCCCCAACCCCCAGACCCTAACTCATTTCAGCCATCCCAGCTTTGGCCCCAGTCACCGCCCAATCCCCGGCTCACATAGCACATTTGGCGCGGTGCTGCGGTTGGCGCTACCCACAGCATTGCTGACCTCGCAGGACACAGGTTCTGTCAGCAACGAGGCATCTGCCACGACCTCCAACCTTGACCCACGAGCCCCAGGCACCGAGGAGCCCCCCTTTGCCCACCTGCAGAAGTAATGGGGCTGTTAGCGTTGTTCCTATACCCTCCTCAAGTCTGAACTCTGTAGTGGGGACAGGTGGGTCTCACCTGTAGCCGGTGACAGGAGGCTGGGCTGTGGCCTGGCACAGGAATGTGATCTTTTCTCCTTCCTGCACAGTTTGGGGTTCTGCGGACAGAGTCACCACTGGGGGGTCTGTGGATGTTAGGACAAAGGTCACCAAGGGCAAGGATGAGGAGGCCAGTCTTGAGCTCCTCCTCCCTCAGACTATGCGGAAGTCTGAACCTTCAGTTATATATTTCCCCAGGGACTCCAGTGTGCAGACCCCAGTCATCATCTGCTCTTTCAAACCTAGAAGTCTAGCGTCCTCCTCCCCAGGCCTCAGGTCCATAAACTTCTCCTTCAGACCCAGGCATCCAGGTCCCAGCCCCCTTCTTCCCCAGGGACCTCAGGCTTAGGGTCTAGCATCTGCTGTACTCACACTGTAAGCTCAGTGTGATAGCTGTGTCTCTCCCTGTAGGCAGGGCCTGGCTTCGGGCCCGACAGACCAAGGTGGCTCCATCATCTTGGCTGGAAGGGGTCAAGGATAAAGTGCTCTCCACTGACCCAGTGGCCCCATCCTTCAGCAGAGTCTGGAGGTAATGGATAATCATAGCTTCATCTACCCCTTATAGAATGCTTACTCTATGTTCAGCATTCTTTGAAGCACTTATAAATTTTCCATGACTGTAATCTTTATGCCACATCTTTCTCCCGAGGACAGACTGGAGGCTTCAAACCAACAGAGTGTTTAAACCACAGCACTACTGGTTGGTTGGTGATGTGCCGTGGAGTCGGTTCCGACTTATAGCGACCCTGTACAGGGTTTCTGAGGCTGTAAATCTTTATGGGAGCAGAAAGCCTCATCTTTCTCCCATGGAACCGCAGGTAGTTTCAAACTGCTGACCCTGAGGTTCGCAGCCCGATTCGTAACCACTACGCTACCAGAGCTCCTTACTGGACTACTAGGACTCCTTTGATAAATATTTCTTTTTTAATCTTCACAATTACTCATTAAGGTGTATATATATATAACTACCATTGTTTTCATTTTACAGATTAGGAAACTGAGGCACAGAGGTTAACTAACTGACTCAGCTAACCAGTGACTGAGCCAGGATTTGAACTCAGGCAGTCTAGCTTTAACCACACACCAAGGATCGTAACCCTTGAGCCCTGTCTTCCCATGCCTTTTTCTCTTCTGACTAAGCCTGAGGTCACAGTGGATCCCAGGTTCCTCTGAGTAGGCAAAGATTAGCTCAAGGACTTGGACCTAACCTGATGGAAGGTGACGCCATCCAGCTGGACCCCATCTCGGAACCATAGCAGTTCAGGTGTGGGGCGGGCATCCCCTTGGCTCCGACAGGTCAGATTCGCAAGCACCCCAACAACCAGAGACACAGCAGGGCCACCCAGCACCTGGGGAGCTTCTGGGGGCACTGGAGGGCAAATTAGGAATCAGCAGATGCAAGGCACAGAGACTCTCTGACCTTTCTGTTTCTAACGGACTACCCACTTCGACTCACTGGACACTGAAACTTCCAGGCAGTCTGAGTTCCCCAAGGACAAGTGGGATGAGTACTCACCTAATACATGCAACTGGGCCGGACGCGAGCGGAGGCCAGCTTGTGTTGCCTGACACTCGTACAGCGCCTCGTCCTCTAGCTCCACATGCCTGATGTGGAGGTTGTGCTGGCCACTGGCTGCACTCCCGGATATCCAGTATCGGGACCATCCTGGAGCCAGGCAAGAGGCAGTCACACCATGGTTCCGAGTTCCTAACCCCAAGTCTCTATTCCCATAGATCTCATACCAGAAAATGGACGCAGGCACCCCACAGAAAGCACATTGCTAAGAAGTGGGTGGTAAGTCCGGGGTGACTCTAACCCTTGCCCAGTCTAGAGTAACTGAAAACTTGGAGGTTGTAAAGCCAGAAAGGAAAGGATTGTTATCAATGGTGAGGAGGGAGGGAAAGGGTTATGACAAGGGAACGGAATAAAATGAGGACTTATAGAGAACTGGCAACGGACCTGCATAATGGCTACATGGGTATCTATTTTATAATTATATCACACAATTTCCATTTATCTTTTATACATTTATGTAATAGTTTTCATCAAAAACGTAAACATCCCCCCAAACCCTATGGCCCACCCCAAGGAAGAAGCTCAAAAAATCAGGACTTCCACATTTATTAATTTCTTGTTTTTTAAGTGGTCGAGTTGGTTCCGACCCATAGCAACTCTATATAGGGTTTCCGAGGAAGCTGGTGGGTTTGAACTGCTGACCTTTCAGTGAGCAGTCCAGTGCTTACCTTATAGCTCCACACAGTTGTTGTGGTTGTTAAGTGAGTGGAGTCGGTTCCCACTCTAAGCCACCCTTTATAGGGTTTCTGAGGAGCAGCCGGTGTGTTTGAACTGCCGACCTCGCAGTTGAAACCGACCTTGTGGTCCAGTGCTTACTCTACAGTGCCACATCAGGACTCCTAGCTCCACTCGAGCCCGGCAATCTCCCAAACTTGAATATGTCAAACTCAAGCCCAGCATTCCCACCTTGGAGCTCCTCCCAGAGTAGAGCAAACAACCCTACCTGGCAGGTCCCTTTCTCCTCCGAGAGCCAGTCCATCCTTAGTCCACTGAACCAGCCCCCAGTATGCGCCCAGAGCGCAGGGCAGCCGGGCTTCGCCCCCCTGCACCGCCACCAAGTCCTCGGGTTGTTGCAGGAAATGAGGCAACGGGTCTAGGAGGATGGGGGTACAGTAGAACCTAGTTAGAACACCCAAGCCCTCTCTCCTTCAAGACCCAGCAGTCTGTTCCCCAGATCTTCTATCTCCAGGGCCTAGAAGTTCCCCAAGACTCTCTTTCCTCCGACCTAGAAGCCCAGGTCCCCAGAATTCTCCTCCCTGAGACCCAGGAATCCGGGTCCCAAGTCTGTTCCTCCGTAGTAAATCCGGCAGCCTGCACACGGTCCTCTCCCCTTTCCATCTGCTCCCCTTTTGCGGTACCTGCACATCCTCTAAGGCAGAAGAGGAGGACAAGGAGGGCAGAGATCAGCATCCAGAGGGTGTATTCCCCAAGATCTGCGAGATTTGCTGTTTCCTTTCTCGAGAGCACACCTCTAACTACCCTGGCCCGGTACCCCTTCTTGGCTACTGGAGCCAGAAGCCTTCCAGTCCCTGTTCAGAACTTCTTGCAAGTCTGCTCATCCGCAGCCTCAGACTATTCTGAATAGTTTGCCAATTCCGCGCGCTCAGACTCCAAGCTACAGCTGCGAGGACCCGATGCCGCTCGCCCCTCCCAGGCCCGCCCCTTGGGAGACCCGCCCTTTTCCCTTGGACAAACTTCCGCGGCCAAAGCACGGATGAATGGGGTCGCTCTGGTTCCCACTCCCCGGCAGGCGGTCGCCCCAGTCCAAATGGGGTCTGGGAGCCGGAACACCTGAGTCGAAGGAGGGGGACCCTGCTGGGGCTGGACACCTGCGCCCTGCGGGGTACAGGGTGAGGAGGAGGGAGGATAGAGAGTGGAAGAAACTTGCTCAGCGTAGCTCCTGGAGGGACCACGCCGAGTGGAAACTGAGCCATAAATGGGAGTCTCCAGGGCCTAGCCAGTTTCCGCGCCCTGGGGAGGCGGGGCCAGGACCGGGGACTCTCTTGGGGCTGCGGGTCAGAACGAGGGCACTGTGGATCTTGAGGGACAACTGAGACCCCTAAAAAGAAGGAGTCCGATTCCCTCGCTTCAAAATTCCTCCATTAAAATATACCTCTGGCTGCCTTGTTCCCGCTGCAAACTATATAACAACCAAATCCCCAACTCATCCTTTCCCAGGACCCCGAAGTCTAGGACCACCCCTCTCCTCACTCTGCCGGGGCCTCTGGGCCTCAGTGGTCCGGTTGCTGGGCGACGGCTGGGAGGCGGCTGTGCCTGGGCTCTGGCGGGCAGAGAGGCTGGGAACAGCGCAGCTTGTCCTGACAGGTCCATGTAGCCCAGCTGAGGCGTTCCCACGCTACCAGCGGGTCTGTACGCTGCGCAGCTGGCCGGGCAGGTGGATAGGACCCGGAGCAACAGACGGACATGTTGCGGGTCTGGGGTCCTGGGTCTGACATTCCTGAACCTGTAGAGACTAAGAGTCCATATTCATGTTATTGGTTCAGATTCTGGAGACCATGAATGGCTAGAAATTGTCTTCTCAAAATTCTGCAGGACAGGGTGGGGGGTAGGGGGTGGGGGGGTGTTCAGATTTCTGCTGACAAGAAGTTATGGACCGAACTCTGGGTTGCTGAGGGTCTGGGAACTAAACTTCAAGGGCCCCTGCCTGCAGCATGATGCAGTTGGCAGAGGATGACAGGAAGTCAGAAAATCCGATCATAAGTCTTAGAATCAGTGGATTTAACTATCAATCTCTGTCCCAACCCCATACAGCCCAGGAAGATTTGAAAATCAACAGACAGTGAACATCTGTCCTAAATCCTGAGGGGCAGGGGTGCTGGGCTCGGGACTTGAACTCCTGAGTCTAGCAGGGATAGTCCTGGGAGCTCAGACCCCTAGGTCTGGAGCCCTAAATTCCTGGCTTCTGTGTTGGGGACTCTGCCTGGATTTGGAAATAGGTTGGGCTTAGGGCAGAGACACCTAAGTTTTAGGAAGGAAATCAGGTATTGAGGTTGTTTTTCCAAACACCTGAGATTGTTTCCTCTTCCTGGCCCTCTGGGGCCACAGACATGGAAAAATGGAGAGCCTGAAATCCCAGGAGCATCCAGAGAAGGAAAACAGCCACAGTAGAAGGTGGAAGGTTTGTGCTAATTAAAGGTCACAGCAACTGATAGCCTTATGCCCTGGCCCCCAGGAATACCACCTGGTGAGGGCCCCTTTGACCAACTCCCCAGCTCTGCATTTAGCCCAGTAGTCAGGAGGTATGGGAGGTAGTTGAGAAAGAGGATGTGGGAGGAGGACAAGAAGTTAATGGTGGAAAGGAAGACGAAGAGGAGCATCATATATGAGACTGTGGGGACTCAGACCAGATGTCTCGTCTTTTTCCTGGAGGAGGACCAGATTGGGGGGAAGGGAGTCATAGGGGAGAGAGATGAAAGTGAGTAACTGCTGTTCCCTCAGGAAACAAGCAGGTAGAAGCAGTTTATCCCATGTGAGTATGTATTTGCATACTGGAGTGGGGACAGTGGACCAACCAGTATATGGTTATAGAGTTTGAACCTGTGACAATCAGAAGGACTCAGAGACAGAGGAACAATCAGAAGAAAGGCACAGTGAAAGGTTGATGGGGAATAAGTATTTATGGAGCTCCTGGTGTGTGAAAGAGACAGAGTGGGAGGGGGTGGATAGAGATGAGGACTGAGACAGAAAAATCAAGACACACAGAGGTATAGATAGAGAAACATGCAAAGAAAATGAAATAACCAAAGATTGAAGAAGAAGAAATGTTGACCTTCTAATGAGGGTGGGAGGTGGAGACGCAGAAAGAGAAACAAATACTCTGAAACAGAAATAAGAGAGAAAGATAAAGCCAGATGGATAGAGGAAGAGAAGGACAGAGAAAGAAAGAAGAGACTGGGTTGAAATGGTGAGAAACAAAAACATGAACCAGAGCTTGGGTGCTGGCAGCCTAGGAGCCTGTCTTTCATCCCCAAACACACATCCTGTGCCCTCACACGTGTTGTTGTTGTTAGGTGCCATAGAGTCGGTACTGACTCATAGTGACCCTATGCACAGCAGAATGATCCTGGGCCAACCTCACTACTGTTGCCAAGCTTGAGTCCATTGATGCTGCCAATCCATCTCGGAGGTCTTCCTCTTTTTCTCTGACCTTCCACCTTGCCAAACATGATATCCTTCTCCAACGACTGGTCCCTGCTGACAATATGTCTGAAGTATGAGAGAAGAAGTTTGGCCACCCTGGCCTCCAAGGAACACTCTGGCTGCACTTCTTCCAAAATGGATCTATTGGTTCTTTTGGCAGCCCGTGGAACTTTCAATATTCTCCTCCAACACCATAACTCAAAAGCATCAATTCTTCTACGGTCTTCCTTATTCACTGTCCAGCTTTCGCATGCATATGAGGTTATTGAAAATACCATGGCTTGGGTCAGGCGCACCTTAGTCCTCAAGCTGACATCTTTGCTCTTCAACACTTTAAAACGGTCTTGTGCAGCAGATTTGCCTAATGCAATACATTGTTTGATTTCTTGACTGCTGCTTCCGTGAGTGTTGATAGTTGATCTAAGCAGAATGAAGTCCTTGACAACTTCAATCTTTTCTCTGTTGATAAGAATGTTGTTTATTGGTCCAGTGGTGAGAATTTTTGTTTTCTTTACATTGAGATGTAATCCATACCGAAGGCTGTGCTCTTTGATCTTCAACAGGGGGTGTGAACGTGACTTGTGGATTGTGATAGCATGTGTAGAGCATGTGAGTTTGAAAGTGTCTACCCTCACACTTAAACACTCTCAAATTCACATACTCTGCACATGTTATCACAACCCACAAGTCACTTTCACACCCCCTGACTCTCACACACGTGCTCACCTACTTGCTTGTACACACTGTCTCACATATGTACACACACACAGATGTCAGCACATTCTCATCATCTTTCATACAACTCCAGTGGAGATTCCTGATGTCACAGAAGGGGTTGATGTCTACTCAGGAAGGAAAGGGACCTGCCAAGGGCAAGGAAGATATAGGGAGTCCTATGTCCCACGCTGGGCCCAGCTCTTTGTTCCCCATGTTAAGCTAAGACAGCCCTGGTCTTCTGACCTGCCCAGCCCCCCACTCATAGCAAGCACCAGCCAGGCCCTTAGGTTCACAGGGGTTGGGGAGGCACCCAGGAATGTGTCTGGTATTTGCTGACAGGAGGGGATTTGATGTTCCAGCTGGGCTGGGAGGAGCCTGCAGGGTAAAGACAGGCGAGTTGGAGACTCATGAGAACACCCAGGGAAGCTGGCAGCATGAGAAGGGGCTCAACGGGCTAGGAGAACAGAGACTAGGGCTCAACTCAGCCTGCCTGAGGGGTTGTGGGTGGCAAGAGAAGACCAGGGGGTAGGGGTCAGGAAAGAAGAAATAGAAACAGAGAGAGACTGAAACTTAGGGACTTCATGAGAGAGAATCTTAGGGAGAGAGAGATTGACAGGAAGAAAGACAGAGAGAGAGAGAGACAGAGATAAAGACACATAGGGAGAAAGGAAAACAGAGAGAGAGAAAAAAAAGGAACAGATCTAGTGGACACAAAGAAACAGGCCACAGGAAGTGGGCAATGGACACTCTGGGGACCACAGGCAGAGGGCCTGGAACGGCATTCAGTGCTCTGAGAAGTTTCATCACTGCTGCCCTGCTCCTTACGGAGCTGTGGACCACAGGTGAGTAGGACCGTGACCTGTGACCCAGCACCAAGTGGCCTTCAATTTCCAGGCACGTTCCCCAGCCAGATCCCCTGTCCTCTCCTCCTGATCATCCTGTATTCTCAGGCCTGACCCAGCAGCAGATTCCAGCCTCAGTTCCCCGTGACTTTTGGGCCCTGCCTGAAAACCTGACAGTCGTGGAGGGGGCCACAGCTGAGCTGCGGTGTGGGGTCAGCGCCCCTGGCAGTACAGTTCAGTGGGCCAAAGATGGACTCCTTCTAGGCCCTGACCCTAGGATCCCCAGCTTCCCGCGGTACCGCCTGGAGGGGGACCCTGCTAGAGGTAAGGGAGCAGAGCTTGAGACCCTGAGCCACCAGTGGAGGCTCTGACTCTGACCTTGGGCCCTTCCCACAGGTGAATTCCACTTGCACATCACAGCATGCGACCTCAGTGATGATGCAGAATATGAGTGCCAGGTCGGTCGCTCAGAGACAGGCCCCGAACTCGTGTCTCCCAGAGTGGTCCTCTCCGTCTTAGGTATGGGTGAGAGACTCCCAGGACCCTAAAGTCCCAGCCCTCTTCCCACCCAAGACCCTGGATACAGTGCTCAGTTCATGAGCAACTGGACTCAAAGCCCAAATCCTCATGCTCTTCTCAGTGGTGATTGGCTCTTTCTCACCAGTGCCCCCCAAGGAGCTTCAGATGACCCCTGAGGCAGGGAGTTCAGTTACCTGGGTCGCTGGGCAGGAGTATGTGGTCAGCTGCGTGACTGGGGATGCAAAGCCAGCCCCTGACATCACCTTCCTCCAGAGTGAGTGCAGGGAAACAGTGGGCTCAGTATGAAGTAAGAGAAGAGCAGGGGAGGGGGCCAGGAAAGTTGCCTATGCCTTTTTTGAGGACCCAGATGATATACCATCCTTGAGATGGGGACCAGAAGGAGGGACACACTGAGGTTAGTGAGGGAACTAGTGGATGAGGTGGGCCTATGGGCTATCCAAGGAAAGGCATTCAGGAGACCACAGGCTGTCCAGCCTGGGACTCAGGGGATAGGTGGAACTGGGACAGAGATCTTAGTATTATCAATATAGAAATGGGAAATGCAGGGGATGGAGGTGCCCAGATGACCCAGCAAGGGAGTGAGGAAAGGGGTGGGCAGAGAGCTGGGAGCCTGCACTAACAACTCCAATATTCATGGTATGTGGTGGGCACAGAGCTGGGGCATCAGATCCTTTTCCTCTAAAGGAAGTAGGGAACTTCATGTCCACCCTGAAGAATTTTTGATTGGGTTCTCTAGGATCTCCCTTATGGGAAATCCAGTATCCCTCCAACTCTCTTGTTACTCCAAGGTGGACAGACAATTTCTGATATCTCTACTGATGTGAATGAGGGGTCTCAGGAGAAACTCTTCACTACAGAGGCCACAGCCAGGTATGGCAATTGGACACCCCTTCCAACCCAGGCCCCCAACTTCCCTATGAGAACCCCATATCCAGGTACTCAAACTTGGAAAGTTGCCTCACATATGAATAGCTGGGATTCAATTCTTCATCCTGACCCTCCAAAATTTATTCATAGCTTCCCCACTTATCAAAGTCTCAAGCACAAAGATTTTGGCCAGGTAGAGGTCTGTGGGAACCCCATTCTCTTTGTTCATCTTCCACATTTCTCCCATGGGAATGTCAGATCCCAGGGTAAGCCAGCATGGAGACTTAGACCAGGTGTGGGGACCTGGGGTCCCAACATCTGCACCCTGACTTCTCAAATTTTAGGTGATGAGTCTAACACCTGCACCACAATTTCCCACCCTAGGGTGACACCCCAGAGCTCGGACCATGGACAGTTACTGGTCTGCGAGGGGTCCAGCCCAGCTTTGGACAGCCCCATCAAAGTTTCAATCACCATGAATATTCTGTGTAAGTGGGGAATTGATCCAGTTGCGGGCACTGGGGAGACAGAGCAGAAATGGAGACCCAGAGAAGCACAGGGAATGTGGAAAATGCAGGCACTTGAAGAGATATGGAGGTTCAGAGGCAGTGTTTGGGGTGGATGGAGTCCCTGGGCTCAATGAATGATCACCCACACTTCAGTTCCCCCAGGACCCCCAGTCATTGAATGGCCAGGCCTGGATGAGGGACATGTACGAGCAGGACAGAACCTGGAGTTGCCATGTGTGGCTCAAGGAGGGAATCCACCAGCTACACTGCAGTGGCTGAAGGTGAGGACAGAGGCAGACATGGGGTTCAGGAGAGCAAGGGTTAGGAGCTAGTCCTAAACCAACCCATAGCTGTCCCTGTCTCCAGAATGGCCAGCCCATGTCCACAGCGTGGGGTACACAGCATGCCCAGGCCGTGGCTCGAAGTGTGCTGGTGATGACGGTACGGCCTGAGGACCAAGGAGCACGGCTCAGCTGTGAGGCCCACAACAGTGTGTCCACAGGGACCCAGGAACGTGGGCTCACATTGCAGGTCACCTGTGAGTCCTGACATGAGTCTATCTGTTTGTGACCTCCAAACCCTTGCTATCTGTCCCAGTCCCCTGTTTGTCTGGGCTGACCCATGAGGAATCCAGCTCAGTCCAGTGTATCTCCTCTGACCATCTGTCCCTGCAGTCCCCCCCAGTGCCATTGTCATCCTGGGATCGGTATCCCAGACTGAGAACAAGAACATGACACTCACCTGTATCAGCAAGTCTAGTCGCCCACGGGTTCTGCTGAGATGGTGGCTGGGCTGGAGACAGCTGTTGCCCACAGAAGAAACCGTCATGGATGTGAGGCGGGGCCAGGGTCCTGAGTCTGAGGAAGGAGGGCAGTGAGGGCACAACTCCTAAATCTAAGAGAACGGGTAGTGGACTGTGGGGGTGATGGACTGTGGGTGACTCCTGTCTCTGACAGAAGAGGCGGGAATGACTTTATGTGTCCCTGTTGGGGTCTGGGGTGGATCAAGGCCTCTGGTATGGTGGATGGAATACCCTAGTCCCCAAGTCTGAAGCTTGTTCCCTAGCAGGGCCTGCATGGTGGCCACATTTCCATGTCCAACTTGACGTTTCTGGCGCGAAGGGAGGATAATGGACTGACCCTCACATGTGAGGCCTTCAGTGAGGCCTTTACCAAAGAGACCTTCAAGAAGTCACTCACCCTGAATGTGAAATGTGAGGACTCAACCCTAGCCCCAGGATGCCCCAGGCTCCAACCAAAAGAGAAAAACCACCCTTCCTGGCTCTTTCCTAGATCCTGCTCAGAAGCTGTGGATTGAGGGACCCCTAGAAGGGCAGCGTCTCCGGGCTGGGACCCGGGTGAAACTGGTGTGTTTGGCCATTGGGGGAAACCCAGAACCCTCTCTCACCTGGTACAAGGTTGGTGCCAAGCAAAGGCTGTGGGGTGGTTAGTAATGTGGGGAGTGTAGGCCTGTTCTCTGCTTTACAGTCTCGGGAAATCTTGGGAAAGCCTGGAAACTCTGAGGTTTGGCAGACACAAAATAACACATGAATGAAATAGAATCCTAGGGGATTCTGGGAAAATTATGAGAATTCTAGAATGAAGCATGGAATTCTAGACTAAGATTGGGAATTCTAGAGAAAAGCAATGCATTCCATTAAAAAAATCAAAGGAAATTCTGGAATTCAGGTTAAATAGCAGGACTTCTAGGGAATGACTAAGAATTCCAAGATACAGGACACTGATACTCTGGGCAAAGATTAGAAATTCTGGGGAAAGATGAGACAAGTCATTCCACAGAACACTGATTATCCATTAATATTAAATAGCATTTTTGGAATTTGGGGCAAGAAAATGGAATTTCATTAAAATAAAGGAAATTGGGACAAGGTTCTGGGGGGAAATCTGAAAATTTAGACAGAAATTTATAGTAACGACAATGGAATTCCATATTAATTGGATGAATTCTGGGGAAATGTCAGTAATTTGCATTAGATTCTAATAAAAGACTAGGAGAACAAGAGAGAATTTTGGGGAAGGATTCTGAAATCTGTAGAAGAAAATGGGATTAAGGGACAGGTCAAAGGAATTCTGAGAACAGTTAAAAAAAGAAAATTCTACGGAAAGTAGAAATTCTAAGGAAAAGAATTTTAAAAAGAATAATAATAAGAAATTCTGGGTAAGGCTTGGGAATTCCCGGGAGTTTCCTGGTCCAGAGTATTCAGTAAATGTTTCCAACAGGAATGGATTTTGAGGAGTTGGTGAGTGGGACTGAGTGTGGACAGGAGAAACCAATTGCAGGATAGTCAGACTTCCTCTCTCATACTTGGGACATATTGTCAGGAGGGACCAGTCCCCTAGAGAAAAATACCATGATTGGTAAAGTGAATGGTTGGAGAAAAAGAAAACGACCCCCAGGGAAATAGATTAGCACAGGGGCAGTAGCAGTGGGCTCAGGAGTAGCAACCATTGTGAGATCGTGTCCAGGACCAGGCAGTGTTTCGTTCGGTTATGCATAGGGTAGCTATGAGCCCGCACCGACTCCATGTCACGTAACACCAAGTGAGCAGGATCAGACAGCCAAGTGGTGATGCAAGAAGGCAGGGTAGGGGGAGAGACTAGCGTGGCCTCCTCTATCCTTTTCTTTCCCAGCATAAAGGCCTTTCCTGGGCGGGCAGTGGCCAATCCAAGGGGGCGCGCATCAGGGCTGGTGGGGAGGGGCAGATCCGCGGACAGACTCGCAGTCATTCCTTCTCAGGACTCGCGCACAGTGACCGAGCCGCGGGCGCCGCAGGAGCCGAGGCGGGTGCAACTGGGAAGTCTGGAGAAATCGGGGAACACTTTCTCCCGTGAGCTGGTGCTGGTCACGGGGCCGTCGGACAATCAGGCTAAGTTCACATGCAAGGCGGGCCAGCTCAGCTCGTCCACGCAGCTCCTTGTGCAGTGTAAGGGCGCGAACAGCCGGGCCGGTGGGAGGGTTGGGTCAGGACCAGGGGTCCCGGAGGGGCGGGAGCTGGCAGCCCTCCTCTTCATCGCTGTGCCTCGCTTCCCCGATCGGCTCTCCAAGTTCCCCCAACGAATCTGACTATCCTGACCAACACGTCGGCGCTGCGTCCCGGGGACGTGGTCAATCTGACGTGCGTCAGTGTTAGCAGCAATCCTGCGGTCGACCTGTTGTGGGACAAGGAAGGGGAGAGGTGAGGGTGAGAGCAGCCCCGCCCCCCAGCTCTGGTTACACCCATTTCCCCGCCCTGCCCCGCCCCCCTCCAACCTACATACTATCCAGTATCCCACCCTCTTCTGGTTCTGGTCCCACCTGGATCCCACCGTTTGCTGGGTCCCCAGCCTAGAAGGCGTGACAGCGAATCCCCGGAGCGCGCCGTACAAAGGTTTTGCCGCGTCCAAGAGCATCCTTCTGCAAGTGTCGTCCCGAGACCACAGCCACCGCGTGACTTGCAGTGCCCATAGCGCCGAGCTGAGAGAAACCGTGAGCGCCTTCTACCGCCTCAACGTGCTGTGTACGTGCGCTGACCTGGTACCTCTCCACCTTCTTCTCCAACTAACCCTACACTATTCAAGTCCTCACTTTGGTACTGCCCTTTACCCCTGTTCTGACCTTTTCCTGATCTTGTTCCAGACTCCTGGCCTTGCACCAACTCCTGTTCTGCCTCGGTCCCAACCTCCGTCTTGCCTTTGCCCTTTGTCCTAACCACAGATCCCCATCCTAACCCCTGACTTTACCCTTGACTCTTCTTTCCATCTTTAAACCTGACCCTGACCCCTAACCCTTTCCTAACAGGATCCTGAACCTTACTCAGCTCAGCTCGGAATTTAACTGTCCTTTATTCCCTACCTAATTGTGAGCCCCTAATTGTGAACCTGTATTTTAACTCAAATCCATGCCTTAACCCGACCTTAACACCCATCTCGACTCCCTGGGGCGCCCCCTCCGCAGACCGTCCAGAGAGTCTGGGGGAACAGGTGCTCGTGGTGACCGCGATGGAGCAAGGCGAAGCCATCCTGCCCGTGTCCATATCTGCCAACCCCGCTCCCGAGGCCTTCAACTGGACTTTCCGCGGCTACCGCCTTAGCCCAGGTGCGCGGAGTGAGCATGGGGAAAGTTGCAGCCCTGGGGTTGGAGGGTCTAGCAGGCGTCTCACTCTGACATCCGCAGCTGGTGGCCCCAGGCATCGCATCCTGTCTGGCGGGGCTCTGCAGCTGTGGAATGTGACTCGCGCAGACGATGGTCTCTATCAACTGCACTGTCAGAACTCGGAGGGCACAGCTGAGGTGCTTGTGCGTCTGGATGTACACTGTGAGCTCCCCCTACCGTCCTCCTAAACTGGTGGGCTGTGGGACCCCTGACCACAAAGGAAAACTTGCCCGCCCAGGGAACCTTACCTACTATGGAGTCTCCTTTGTGTGAAAGTTGGGCTCATGGGCATGGGTATCCACCTGCTCTCAGGAACCCTGCCCCCTCTGGAAGCTCTGGTCCTGATGTAGCTACGCCCACTGTGGAATCCCTAGTAGACCCTAGTGCATCTCTCCCAGGCAAGGAGTCCACCTACATGGGATTTATTCCTAAAAGAAAGTCAAGTCCACTTGGGGAAGTCCCCAGCACAACTGAATTCTGGAAGTCCCTTGTGATTTGCTTAAGTGCCATGGAGGCACGGCAGAGGTTCGGGACAACTTCACCAATTCTGAGAGTTTTCCACGTGCTCCTGATCAAGGGGCAGACTGTCCGTACCTCCAACTTGCCTGGGCATCTCTAAGACACCTCTCCTTCCTGGGATCCTTTCCCACCATGACCTGACTGGATCCAAGTGACTTCCCCAAGTTCCTGCCTCTCCCCAGATGCTCCCATTATCCGTACCCTACATGATCCCACTGAGGTGGATGTTGGTGGTTCTGTGGAAATAGTCTGCACTGCTGATGCCAACCCCATCCTCCCAGGAATGTTCAGTTGGGAGAAGCTGGTGAGAACCCAGACTCTGGTGAATGGAAGTGGGAGCTGAGGCTGGGAGTGGGGGCCACATCTGTAAGAACCTGCATAATTATGTTTGGAGCATGCTCCAACAATAACTTTGTACAACTGCAGATGGGTGGGTGGATGAGTGGCTAGATAGTTCCGACGAATGCATAGGTATAGATGGGTGGGTGAACTAACTGGTGAATGGGTAAGTGAGTGGTTGGATGGAAAAATGGACACATGGACAAGTGGATGAATAGATAAAGGACTCTGAGAGAACTAAGTGGATAGATAGATTAGATGAGAGGGTAGATCAATGGATGGGTGGGTGGATCATCAGAGAAAAGATGTCTGTGGAAAGATGATGAATAGATCAATGGATGGATTCAGAAGACGGATGGATAGGTCAATGGAGAGATGAATAAATGGGTAGTAGGATGAATGGATGAACAAATGCATGTATTTATGGGTATATGTATAGGTGAATTGGTGTGGCATTGGACTGCAAGCTCAATTTGAACCACAAGGTAGGTGTTTCAAGCTCACCAGCTGCTCCTTGGAACCCCTATACAGGGTCACTATGAGTTGGAATCAACTCGAAAGCTCTTAACATAAGTGAATTAATGGGGTGGATGGGTGGAGAACTTCGATGGTGAATAGATGGGTGGATAGAAAGAAGACAAATGTTTGGATTAATGAATGAATGAGTGAACAGATGGAAGGGTGGATAGATGGTTCCAATCATTAATAGTTGGACAAATGGATGGGGGAGTACTTATCTGGATTGATAGATGAATGGATGGATCCCTGCTTGAATAGTTGGATAGATTACTGGATAGGTGGATGACAGGTGGAAGGTGGCATCACTAGCTCTGTGGAAAGCGATTGTGTCTGAAAGGGAGCCATACTGGACCCAATTCTGGAAATGCTGGCACTGGGGCCTGACTGTGAGGGTCCGTTCTTGAGTATTGGGGCCTCCAGGGAGAAGAGGACGAAGACCAGAGCCTGGACGACATTGAGGAAGTATCAAAGGGACCCACAGGGTGTCTGAAGATTCGTTCTGCCAAACTGACCCAGGCTGGTGCCTACCAGTGCATTGTGGACAATGGGGTGGCACCTCCAGCCCGAGGCCTGATCCGTCTTGTTGTCAGATGTGAGTAACCCCAAAACCCCGACTTCAAGATTGGTCACTGAACTTGAAACTCTCATATCCTTCCACATGCTTTGTTTTGACCCCTCCCAACCCATCCCAGTTGCCCCCCAGGTGGAGCACCCCACCACCCTAAGTAAGGTGGCTGCAGCTGGCGACAGCACCAGTTCTGCCACCCTCCACTGTCGTGCTCGAGGTGTCCCCAACATTGTCTTCACATGGACCAAAAATGGGGTTCCACTGGACCTCCAGGATCCCAGGTGAACCCAGACCCAGCCAGGCCCCTCTCTCCACTGGCCCCCAGCCCCCTGAGCTCCTGCCTCATCTCCTCTCCAGGTACACGGAGCACATATATCATCAGGGTGGCATCCACAGCAGCCTTCTGACCATCGCCAATGTATCTGCAGCCCAGGATTATGCCCTCTTCACATGCACAGCCACCAATGCCCTTGGCTCGGATCACACCAATATTCAACTTGTCAGCATCAGTACGGTGGGGAGGAAGTTGTGGGGGGTGTTATGGGATGCTCCCTGGGACAACCCCAAGTCCTTCGTTGGCCTCAGACTGGCAGGGTTTCTGAAACCTGAGGAGTGTTTTTGAATGAAGATGGAGCCACTATGGGGGTTGCTGTGAGTCGGTATTGACTTGAAGGCAGTGGGTGGATGTGGCAGTTAGTTGGAAAAGCCCCTAGGGAGTCTGAATCTTCAAGGCAACCCCAAACAAAAGAAAATGGCAACAAAATAGCAGAAAACAAACAAATACTTTTAAGAGTGTATTAGTCGAGATGCTTTTAGGCCAAAACTCCATATTAAAATGTCTGAAGAAAAAAGAAAAGAGAGCGAGAGAGAGTGGGGGTGGGGATTTATTGACTTAACTGCAAAGTAAATTTTTCAGGAGTCTCTGAATCTCAGCTCAGCCGTCATCAGCTCCATTTCTCAGCTCCGCTTTTTCTCTTTGTTGGCTTTATTTTCAACCCCTTCATAGTGAGTGGTATTTTATCATTTCTAGGGGAAATGATTTTTTCCCCCTTTACTAACAATGGCATGAAAATTCTAGAATTAAGTTTCATTGTCTCTGCTTGGGTCCCAGTCCTTCCTTGAACCAATCACGTGGTCAAGGGAAAGTAGTACTCTGATTGGCTGGGCCTGATTACGCTCACTAGTAGGAGTGAGTTCACCTCCCTCGGGAGCACTGGACCTGCGAATGTGGAACATGATTCGCCAGAGAAAATTTAGAATGCTATCGCCATAGTCTCTGGTAGCCTAGTAGTTACGAATTGACTTGCTAACCTCAAGATCAGCAGTTCGAAACTACCAGATGTTCCGTGGGAGAAAGTTGAGGCTTTGTGCTCCCATAAAGACAGCCTCGGTTGCTATGAGTCAGAACTGACTCCACGGTACATAACCACCCACCATCACCACAGGAAATGAGGGACTGGATGAATGGATGGGGGTGGGCACAATGAACAGATGTCCCCTACAAGAAATGTATATAGTCCTTGATGTGACGCTGTAGGATAAGCACTGGACTACAAGGTTGATATAAACCACAAGATCAGCAGTTCAAACTCATCAGCGGTTCCTTGGAAACACTATACAGGGTTGCTGTGAGTTGGAACCGACTGGAGGATGGCTCATACCAACAATAACAAGGAAAAATAGTTCTTAGGAAAAATCTGGGAAGAATCTCCCAGAATCCTTTTGCACTCTGACCACCTTTCCTTCTCCCATCCTTTTTCTCAAAGGCCGTCCTGATCCCCCATCAGGATTAAAGGTCGTGAGCATGACCCCAAACTCGGTGGGGCTGGAATGGAAGCCTGGCTTTGATGGGGGTTTGCCACAGAGGTTCCGAATCAGGTGGGTCCACGTTGAGGCAGGAAGAGGTGGCAGCTGACAGGGCTGGGGCCTGTCCCTGAACTGACTCACTTCCTATCATACAGATATGAGGCCCTGGAGACTCCGGGGTACCTCTACATGGATGTCCTACCATCCCAGGCCACTACCTTCACACTGACTGGGCTGCAGCCTTCTACACGTTACAAGATTTGGCTGCTGGCCAGTAATGCCTTGGGGGACAGTGAACTGACCATCAAGGGGACCCACCTCTCCATTTCTACTCCAGGTAGGAAGAGACAGTCTGGGGCAGATTGGAGAATTCTTCAGGGAATTTATGGGTTGGTATGCAGGAGCTCTGGTAGCATAGTGGTTACGAATTGGGCTGTGAACCACAAGGTCAGCAGTTCGAAACTACCAGCTGTTCTGCGGGAGAAAGATGAGGCTTTCTGCTCCAGTAAAGATTTACAGCCTCGGAAACCCTGTACAGGGTTGCTATGAGTCGGAACTGACTCCACGGCACATAACAACAACAACAACATGCAGGAGTCCTATATACCATAGGCTTCTGGTAGGACAAGCTCAGGACTGCAAGGTCGGTTTGAGTCACAAGGTCTGTGGTTCTAATTCACCAGTTGCTCCTCAGAAACCCTATGCTGGGTCGCTATGAGTCAGAACGGACTCAACAGTACTTAACAACAACATGCAGGAGTCCTGGTGTGGCGCTGTAGGCTAAGTGCAGGATCACAAGTTCCATTTGAACAACAAGGTCAGTGGTTCAAACTCACCAGCTGCTCCTTGGAAACCCTATACAGGATCGCTATGAGTTAGAACTAACTCGATGGCACTTAACAACAACATAGCTATATAGGAATCCTGGTGTGGCGCAGTAGGATTAAGCACAGAACCGCAAGGTCAATTTGAACCACAAAGCAGGCAGTTCAAACTCACCAGTTGCTCCTTGGAAACCCTATACTGGGCTGCTATGAGTCAGTACCAACTGGACGGCACACAACAACAACAACACATAAAGGTTGACTTAGAAAGTAGCTGGGTCAGGGCATTCTCACCCTCTGTTAACTTTGCCCCATGAAAGTCCCCCTTTTCTGTCTTCTCTTCCTGTACAGCAGCCGGTTTCCCCTGTAGAAGTGAGGACATTTTCCCTTACTTGTAATCTTCCCTTCCCTTTCCCCCCTCCCATTCTAGTCTTCTCTTTAATATGTTAGCATAAAGCTCACCTCCCTTGCTATAGAATCTATCCCTCTCTTAAGGAATTCTGAGAGTCCAAATTGTCTAATTTTGCTTTATTAACTATGCAAAGGCATGATAACAAACTATGTGTGGATTGTAACAACCTATGGATAACCTTGCAAAGAATGGGTATTCCAGAACACTTAATTGTATTCCAGAACACTTAATTGTATTCCAGAACACTTAATTGTATTCCAGAAGACTTAATTGTACACACATAGACTAAGAGGCAGTCACTCACAGAGAACAAGGGGATACTGAATGGTTTAAAATCAGGAAAGGTGTGCAGCAGGGTTGTCTTCCATCACCATACTTAAGTCAACTTGTATACCGTGCAAATAATCTGAGACACTGGATTATAAAGAAGAACGTGGAGGAAGAGTCATTCACAACCTGTGATATGTAGATGATACAACCTTGCTTGCCAGAAGGCAAAAGGACTTAAAATCCTGATGAAGATCAAAGACCACAACCTTCAATATGGATTGCACCTCAATGTAAAGAAATTAAAAACTCTCGTAACTAGACCAATAAATAACATCATGATAAATGGAGAAGAGATTGAAGCTGTCAAAGACTTCATTTTCCTTGGATCCACAATCAATCCTTATGGAAACAGCAGTCTAGAAATCAGATGACATAGTGCATTAGACAAACCTGATGCAGTGGCCCCTTTGAAGTGTTCAAGAGCAAAAGATGTCAGTTTCAGGACTAAAGTGCTCCTGACCCAAGCTATGGTATTGTTAATAGCCTCATATGCATGTGAGGAGTCCTGGTGTGGCGCTGTGGGCTAATGCGTCAGACTACAAAGTTGTTTGAACTGCAAGGTCGGTGGTTCAAGCTCACCAGCTGCTCCTTGGAAACCCTATACAGGGTTGCTATGGGTTAGAATTGACTCGACAGCACTTAACAACAACAACAATGCATGTGAAAGTTGAACAATGAATGTGAAAGACCGTAAAAAATCGATGCATCCTTGGTGTTGGTGAAGAATATTGAAAGTGCCATGGGTTTCCAGAAGAACAAACAAATCTGCCTTGGAAGAAGTACAATTTGAGTGTTCCTTAGAAGCAAAGATTCGTTTCTTGTCCATTGGACATATTAGAGGAATCAGTCACTGTAGAAGGACATCAAACTTGAAAAGTGGAGGGTCAGCAAAAAAGAGGAAGACCCCCAACGAGATGGATCAACACAGTGGCAGCAACAGTGGGCTCCAACATAGTAACAATTGTGAGGATGGCACCGGACTGAGAAGGTTTCATTCTATTGTGCATTGGTAGTTATGAGTCAGAACCAATTCAGCAGCACCTAACAACAGTGACATCTTATTGGTCAACCCAGAAAACTGGTAATGGGTTAAAAGGTCCATGCATGCCATAAAGTACTTAACAGTCATTAATTATTATAGATATTAGTTTTGTTAATATTAATGCCATTATTATTAGCAATTTCCAGCTCTCTTTAAAATATTCCTAGGCAACCATAAGCCAGTTTCCATGAGTCTCTCAGTGGACTGGAACACTTATGAAGAGGCTGAGAAATATTTAAGGCATAGCTCAGATGTCTTAGATAAATTCAAAACCTCTATGTCCTCTTCCCAGGCCTGGACCAGCCTTCTGGAGAACCTGAATACCAGCCTCCTACAGAGCAGCCTGCAGGTAAATACTAAGCCCACTCACTCATCCATGCTGAAGAATAGAGCCTTCTCATTTCTGGTCCTGCCTCCTGTGCCTTGGTTACATTCCCTTAAGACCTAACTCTGCTCCTGCTGGCCTTCGCTTGTATCCTAAGCTCTTCCTGTTGCTTGGATGTGACATTGTTTTTTTTCTGTTATTTTTGCTGCATATCAAATCATCCCAACATGGAGAGTTTGTAGCAACAAGTGTCTGTTATTTCTCATGATTCTATAAATCTGTCTGGACAGTTCTGTCCTGAGTTGGTTTGACTAATCTCTACAGTCAACTGCTCTCCTGACTGGGATTGGTAGTTTGGGATGGCCTCCTCAAATGTCTGGCAAGCACCTGGCTCTTGGTTGAGACATTGAAGCAACAGCATTAACTGGGCCACGTGTCTCTCATCAACCAGCACTACTGCCCAATGGCGTTTTCACATGGAAGTGGTCACACAGGGATTCCAAGACCAATAGGGGGCGAGTTCCACTGTGTAAGCACTTTTCAGGTTTCTGCTTCTGGCATGTTTGCTATTGCCTTATTGGCCAGACCTAGTATGAGAGGGAATTGCCAAAGAATGTGGGTACAGAGAGTGAGACTCTGACCGTTTTTACAAACAATCCCCTTCAGAGCCTGACAAGGAGGTTGCAAGTGACAGAAACTCAGCTGTTGTCAGCAATAAAAAGGATTATTTGACTCATAAAATTGAAAAATTCCAAGTGTGACTGGATTCAGGTGTTCAAAATTTTTCACCAGGGATCTGTTTCTCGGCCTCTCTTGGCTGTGCCTTCATCTCTGAGAGTTTCCTTCTCAGGTTCTTCCATCAAGAAGACAAAGACGTCCTCCCACATCTTGGTCCTACATGTTCTGGCAAAAAGTTCCATTTTGGGTCAAATGCCTACCTCTGAACAAATCTCTGCGGAAAGAGGGATGGGGTGTGTTTATTGGCCAGGTTGGATCACGTGTTCTTCATGGAATCTTGCTTGACTCATATAGAGAGTAGGGAGTAGCTGATTCCCCAAAGGACAACAAATGCTGCTAATAGAATATGGGAAATATTTACACAGAGACAATCAGTCTTGGTCTTTGAGATAGCGCAGAGAAGTAAGCCTGATATTGGCTGGAAAGGAAGTTTATCCAAAGAGGAAGTCATTTGAGATGAAGTCTAAAGGGGGAATAGAAGATTTCTTGTGACAAAAGGACACTTCAGCCATAGATAGTTGATGAGACTGAGACTTAGCATTATGGTTCTGGTAATAGCCAATGTTTTTGTGTGGGAGTGGAGATTCAGGTCGGTGGGTGAGGCTAGAAATGTTGGCAGAACCAGATCACAGACATTCTTGAATGCCTAGTTAAGGAACTGAAGCTCCCTCCAGAGTCCCTAGACATGGCGCAGACAGAGGTAGGATCTGTTGTTAATGGCTTGACTTGAAGAGGTGAAGATGGAGACCCCTGCTCACCTGCTTCCCTGACCTTGGAGGAGAATCTTTGCTTGGTCAGGGACAGACAGACTTTCCTAGAGAGGCCCTCTTAAGACCTAGGGCCAGTTGTTTTGTGCTCACTGAGGAGTACCTTTCTGCCCTCAGGACCCTCAGGGCTGCCTCTGCTGCCAGTGTTGTTTGCTGTTGGGAGTCTCCTGTTGCTTTCCAATGCCTCCTGTGTTGGGGGATTCCTCTGGAAACGGAGACGGAGACATCTTGCCAAGGGTGAGAAGAAGCCTTTCTAGGGCTTCTAGGATGGGGGCTTAAGGGTGATGAGAGTCCAAGGGGAGATGAAAGTTGAAGTCTCTCCATAGCCAGATGTCCAGGGGGTCTCTGACGCCTTCTCTTCTATTTTCTTCAGGCATCTCAGAGAAGACAGAAGCAGGGTAGGTAGGAATATTGTTCTGGAAAGTAAGTTCTGAGTGAGAAGGTTTGGAGGTAGAAGGGAACAGAGGGTTAACCCCCAAATGCCTTCCACACCTCCCTCCTGGCAGGTCGGAGGAGGACAGAGTCAAGAATGAATATGAGACGAGTCAGTTGAGTGGAGACCGGGACACTCAAAGCTCTATGGTGAGCAATGGTGGTCCCTCCAGCCACACCAACTGTGATGGAAAGTACACCACTAGCTTAAGGCGAATCATTTCATTTCCCTTTCCAGAAACCATGGGGTCAGAGGATGGAGAAAATTTTATCTGTTTGTTTGTTTTTTTCTTTGGGGGGTGTGTGACAGGTCAGCACATCAGATATAGAACCATATTATCACTCCATGAGGGACTTCAGCCCCCAGCTCCCCCCCATGCTGGAGGAAGTGCCTTATCGCCAAGGTGAGTCATGACTACATCCAGATTCCCCCACCCACAGAGACTAGACTGGGTGCACTGATAATCCCTACCTTCCACTCCAACTCCACGGTCCACAGGTTTTGAGGATGAAGATATGGTCTTTCCTGGACCCCTATATGATGAGGTGGAAAGACAGTATGCGCCATCTGGGACCCTTGGAGCCCTCTACGATGAAGTACAGATGGTGAGGAAACTTGCATTAGTAAAAGTCTTTCCTGGCCAGTGCTAGAGACTATATTGTAGCAATAATTGTGTTTCTGTAAGAAGCCCAGCTATGATCCAGTGATTGAAAGAAAATAGTCAATGTCTTCCTCTTGTAGCAATCAGAGGTGATGGGTTCTGCTGTCTGTTCTTATCGGAACTCAACTTCTTTCCATCACATTCGTCTGTCATTCCTTAGCATATTGTGCTAGTCTGTATAAATGGACCAGTCACTAGAGGTTTCAGCCACTGGGAAAGGGAAATAAAGAATATGGTGGTGGCACAACTCTGCCTTATAGTCCAAAAACCAAAACCAAATGAAAGCCATGAGCATCCAATAAGTTATGACTCATAGCGACCCTACAGCACAGAGTAGAACTGCCCCCATATGGTTTCCAAGGCCCCATCTTATCCCACAGAGCAACTGGTGGGTTTGAACCACCAACCTTTTGGTTATCAGCCAACAGCTTTAACAACTGTGCCACCAGGGTTTCTCCTTATGGTCCAGGGCCCATGCATGATGCACATGACTGCTGCTCACATTTCACTGGTGAGAATATGGCTACACCGAACTGAAAAGGAGACTGTAGTTTCGCTTGGCAGTTAAATTCTACTACTGTGGAAGAAGGAAAAGTCGTATTTCATTGAAAAAAGTATAGTCCTCTCCACTATACTGGTTAGACAGGCAGACAGACAGACAGACAGTCAGTCAGACAGACAGACAGACAGGCAGACAGACAGTCAGACAGACAGTCAGACAGACAGGCAGACAGTCAGACAGACAGTCAGACAGACAGACAGACAGTCAGACAGACAGTCAGACAGACAGACAGTCAGACAGACAGACAGACAGACAGACAGTCAGACAGACAAACAGACAGATAGATGAATAGATAGATAGATAATTGGCCTTCAGGCCCAGTTCCCCCTTAAAGTCCCTAGCAAGTTCAAGTTTGTATCCTACTAGTTTTGTTGTTGCTATCAGGTATTATGAAGTTGATTCTAATTGATGGAAACCCTACAACAAAATGAAACTCTGCTTGATCTTACACCAACTAGTCTCAGAATCCTTTTAAAAAAAAGAAAAGAGATTTTTCTTTTCCAGTAGCTCCAAAGTCCCAGGGTTGATACTTACTGGCCTACCTTAGGTTACATACTCACCACTGAACAAATCACTGAGACAGACAATGGAATATTCTAATTGGACAGGCCAGAATCAGTGCCAACCCATGGCACCAGGGACTAGATAGAACCAGCCGTAGTCAATCCTCTGGACAGAGTGGAGAAGGGACAGAAATCCCAGAGAGAGTACAGATGGAGGCTGGCCAGGCAGAAACAGCAGAACGATACTTTAACCAGCTAAGCCCCACTCATTACCCCACAGAAAGGGACTTTCTGTGTGGTCTTAGCTCTGGCACCTCTGGGCCAAAGGTTTCCCACTGTAACATGGAGAACACGCTCTTCACATCTAAACTCTCCACCAGCGTGGAACTTACATGCATAAAATGCTCTCTATGGTGCTGGACCATCTGTGCACAGATGGAAACGGTAAGCTCTTTCTGTAAAAGTCCAAATTGTATAAATATTCTGGACTTTGCAGGACATATGGTCTCACTCACAACTATTCAATTTTGTCATTGTAGTGTGAAAGCAGTTATAGACCATACATAAACAAACATACAAATGGCTATGTTTCAATAACATTTTATTTTGACACTGAAATGTTAATTTCATATCATCTTCATGTGTCACAACATATTCTTCTTTTGATTTAGTCCAACGATTTAAAAATGTAAAACAATTCTTAGTTTTCAGACAGTATTTTAAAAACAGGTGGAAAACTACATCTGAACTGTGGACCAATCTGCTCTAAAGTTTACCACTGTAAAACAACTGTTTTCTGTCAACACTAGGACAGGGTACCTCCCCAGTAAACGTTACCCTAACTGGTCTTTTTTTTTTTTTTTTGTCTTCTATTTTGATAAAGAATATTTTTAAAAATTCATTGGACTTACAGAGTCATAACTTACATGCCATAGTTCCCATATCTAATATGGGCTTTTGATGATTCTACCATATTTCTGACATTTGATCTTTTTCTTGAGAAACAGATGGTATTTATAAATGATATGATAGGATACCTTGAACTTGCTTCAAAATCATCCAATTAATTAGCAGGGGGAAATGGAAGAAGATAGACATGTAAGTAAATTGAGACTTGCTGCTCTTGTTAAGTACTGCCCTGTCGGTTCTGACTCATAGCAACCCTGTACAGGGTTTTCCAAGGAGCAGCTGGTGAGTTTGAACCTCCAACCTTAATATTAGCAACCCAGTGCTTATCCTACAGTGTCACACTAGGACTCCATAATAGCAAGACTGGTCAGGGGTTATTACTATTAATTTTAGGTGATCAGTTATGGAGATCATGATCCAAGTTCAGTAGAATCATGGTCATCTGTATATGTTGGGAATTTTCCATAATTAAAATTTAAAATGTTTTTTCCTCTGGGGTGTTGAGCAGGGGTATGTGTCCCCTAGATCTAGAGTGATGACCCTGAGGACATTTTGCCATGGCTTTAACTACATGTTTTACCTAGGACCCCTATGACCACCGTTGGCCTGAGTACATGTATGAGGATCCAAGAGGAATCTATGATCAAGTGCCAGGAGATGTGAACACCACGGAACCGGATTCTCTGCCCTTTGAACTGCGGGGACATCTGGTGTGAGAACCTTCTCAACATCCTTTACCCACACTCCCCCTAGGACAGAAAACTCCTATAGGCTTCTTCTTTCTACAAGGCATGGAGGGTCTGGACTGGACTTTTTCATGAGAAGATGTGGATACGAGTGACAGAAATTATTTAGCTGATGTCAAAGTAATCAGGGGGTTGTCTTCAGAATAAAAACCTGCTAGACATTTTAGCACTTTCAAACTTACCAAAACCTTCTGCAAAGGGACACAGTGAATTGTCTCAAAAAAATGAAAAGTTGTTCTGGGATTCTTTATGCTTCTAGGGATAAAATATTCACAAGTAAGAAAAGACATTGAAAACTCAGTTTCATTTTAACCTTAGGTACATCTGAAATAGCTAATAATAAGTGAAATTTATGAACCATTACTACATCCTACCTTATTTTAGGAGTCCTGGTGTGGCACTGTGGGTTAATGCACTAGACTGCAAAGTCGGTTTGAACTGCAAGGTCAGCGGTTCAAGCTCACCAGCCACTCCTCAGAAACCCTATGCAGGGTCTCTATGGGTTAGAACCAACTTGACAACACTTAACAACAACAATCCTTGTTTTAAGGAACCCTGGCCACACAGTGGGTCTTAGGGCTGCTACCCGAAAGGTTGGGAGTTCAAGCCCACCAGTTGCTCCAGGGGAGAAAGATGAGGCAGTCGGTTCCTATAAAGATTTATAGCCTCGGGAACGCTACTTTGTTTTACAGGATCTCTATGGATCTGGCTCAACTAAAATGTCAGTGGGTTTGGTTTGGGAATTTGTATCCTTGCTCTATTACTTTCCACATTTATCTAAAACATAATGTACAAATGATGACACACATGTAAACCTAAGTACATACTATCAAAAGTAACATTGACTCAAGAAGCTCAACACAAAAGAATATATACAATATTATTTACAACTCATGAGCTTCCTGAGCAGGCAACACTAATCAACTGCAGATTAGTAGCGTAGTGGTTACGAATCGGGCTGCGAACCTTAAGGTCAGTGGTTCGAAACTACCAGCCGCTCCGTGGGAGAAAGATGAGGCTTTCTACTCCCGTAAAGATTTACACCCTCGGAAACCCTGTACAGGGTCGTTATGGGTCGGACCCGACTCGATGGCACTTAACAACAACAACAAGGGTCACTGGAAGCGAACTAATTATAAAAGGGCATGAGGGAACTTTTTTTGGGGGTGAAGGAAATGTTCTGGATCATGATTATGATGGTGGTGGCACAGTTGTATAGAATTGTTAAAACCAGTTGAAGAGTACACCTAGAATAGGCGCTTTTTATTGCATACAATAAAGGTGATAAAAATAGATTCAGTAATAAAACAACTAAGTAAGAAAATCCTTTTTTGCTTGTTTGTTTTAGAGGCAATTTATTTGGTGTTGTTGCTGTTAAGTGCTGCCCAGTCTGTTCTGACTCATAGTGACCTCAAGTACAAGAGACTGCACCATCACCTGGTCCTGCACCCTCCACCCAATTGCAGCTACGCTTGAGCCCACTGCTGCTGTCTCTGCGCCAATCCATCTCATTAAGGGTCTCCCTATTTTTTGGTGTCCCTCCACTTTACCAAGCTTGATGTCCTTCTCCAGGGACTGGTCCTTACTGATAATATGTCCAAAGTATGAAAGATCAAGTCTGGCCATCTTGGTTTCTAAGGAACATTCTGGTTGTCCATCTTCCAACACAGATTTGTTTGTTCTTCTGGCAGTCCATGGTACCTTTAATACTCATCTCCAGCACCAAACTCAAATGCATCAGTTCTTCTGTGATCTTTATTCATGGTCCAACTTTCACAGAGGAGGCTATTAAAAATACCATGGCTTGGGTCAGATGCACCTTAGTCCTCAAACTGACATCTTTGCTCTTGAACACTTTCGAGAGATCTTGTGCAGCAGATTTGCCTAATACAATACATAGTTTGATTTCTTGACTGCTGCTTCCATGAGTGGTGGTGGTGGATCCAAGCAAAATGAAGTCTTTGACAACTTCAATGTTGCCCATAGAATCCTTCAGTATTGCATTTTTTACCTGACTTCTTTTAGTTTGAGAAATGCTGAGCTTGTTTTCCCTTCTGGTTTTCTAACTCCAAATCTTTACACATTTCATTATAATATTTGACTTTGTCTTCTTGAGCTGACCTTTGAAATTTCTGTTCAGTTCTTTTGCTTTCTCATTTCTTCCATTTGCTTTAGCATCTTTATGTTGGAGAACAAGTTTCATAGTTTACTTTCTCCTTGTCTTCTTAATGACCTTTTGCTTTCTTCTTGTATGATGTTCTTATGTCATCCCACACCTCTCTGGGCTTTGGTTTTTAGTTTCTAATGTATCAAATCTGTTCTTGAGGTGATCTCTAAATTCAGGTAGTAGATGTTCAAGGTCTTATTTTAGCTCTTGTGGAGCTTTCCCACTATCTCTTTTCATAGATGTAGTTGGTTTGATTTCTGTGTATTCCATTTAGTGAAACCCATGTGTATATTTGTCTTTTATGTTGTTTTAAAAAGGTATTTGCAATGAACAAGTCATTAGTCTTTACTGAAACTGTTCAGTTCTAAAGTATGTCAATGTGTTCATTGTTTAAACTGGTACAAACCAGAACAATTTATACTTCATATCAGTTGTACTGTGGTGGTTGTGTGTTGCTGTAATTCCGGAAATTACGTCACTGATATTTTAAATACTAGCAGGATCAACAATGGCAGACAGATTTTAGATGAGCTTCCAGATGAAGACAAACTCGAAAGAAGGAGAGAAAAACTACTTCTGAATATTTAGTCATTGAATATCTTATGAATAGTCAGATAGCATCAGAAATATTGAATATTGAAGCATGATGAAGAGCACCAGAATATTTTCAAATATAGTGCCAGAAAATGAGCCCCTCAGGTTGGGAGGCACTCAAAACCCGACTGGGGAAGAGCTACCTCCTCCAAGTAAAGTAGAGTTGACTATGATGATGTGAATAGAGTTAAGCCTTCAAGACCTTCATTTGCTGATGGGGGCACAACTTAAAATGAAGAGAAACAGCTATAAACATCCATTAATAATCATAAATCATGACATGGAATGTATGAAGTATGAATCTAGGAAGATTGGAAATTGGCAAAAATGAAATGGAACAGATAAACATGGATATCAACATCGAGATGGAATGCATAAACACTTAGTTGTGGTCACGAGGGACCTGTACATAGGCATTAGTGAGCTGAAATTGACTGATATTTTGAATCTGACATGGTTTACTATGCCAAAAGTGACAAATTGAAGAGGAATGTGTCGCATTCATCTTCAAAAACAACATATCAAGATCTGTCTTGAAGTAGTACAACACTGTCTGTGATAGAATAATATCCATATGCCTACAAGGAAGACCAGTTCATACCACTATTATTCAAATTACACATCAGCTACTAAAGCCAGTGATGATGAAATTGAAGAATTCTAACAACTTCTTCAGTCTGAAATGGATCAAACAGGCAATCCAGATGTATTGATCATTACTCGTGATTGGAATGAGAAGGTTGAAACCAAAGAAAGATCAGTCGTTGGAAAATCTGACACTGGTGATAGAAATTATTCTAGAGATTGCATGATAGAATTTTGCAAGAGCAATGCCTTGTTCAATACAAATTCCTTTTTAAACAGCATAAAAGACAAATATACACATGGGCTTTACCAAATGGAACACACAGAAATCAAACTGACTGCACCTGTGAAAATAGACAGTGGAAAGATCCATATCATCAGCCAAAACAATGCCAGGGGTAGACTGTGGAACTGACCATCAACTGCTCACTTGCAAGTTCATGCTGAAGCTGAATAAAATGGAAACAAGTCCACGAGAGCCAAAATAAGACCTTGAACATATCCCACGTTTATTTAGAGATCATCTTAAGAACAGATTCAATGCATTAGACACTAACGACCAAAGTCCAGAGAGTCATGGGATGACATCAAGCATGCCATACTGGAAGAAAGCAAAAGGTCATTAAGAAGACAAGAAAGAAGAAAAAGACCAAAATGGATGTCAGAAGAGACTCTGAAACTAGTTTTTCAGCATAGAGATGCTAAAGCAAATGGAAGAAATGAAGAGGTAAATGATCTAAATAGAAAATTTCAAAGAGCAGCTCATGAAGACAAAGTCAAATATTATAATGAAATAATGCAAAGACCTGTTGTTAGCAAGCCAAAAGGAAAGAACATGCTCAGCATTTCTCAAGCTGAGGGAACTGAAGATAAAATTCAAGCCTCAACTTTCAATACTGAAGGATTCTATGGACAAAATACTGAATGATGCAGAAAACATCAAAAGATGAAAGGAATATAGAGTCATGTACCAAAAGGAAATGGTCAGGTGTTCAAGCATTTGAAGAGGTAGCATATGATCAAGAGACAATGATACTGAAGGAAGAAGTCTAAGGTGCATTGAAAAAGAACAAGTCTCTGGGAATTGATGGAATACAAATTGAAATCTTTCAACAAAATGATGAAGCACTGTAGGCATTCATTCATTCTATTCCAAGAAATTTGGAAGACAACTACCAAGCCAACTGCAGGAGCTCTGGTAGCGTAGTGGTTACGAATCGGGCTGCGAGCCGCAAGGTCAGCAGTTCGAAACTACCAGCTGTTCTGCGGGAGAAAGATGAGGCGTTCTGCTCCCGTAAAGATTTACAGTCTCAGAAACCCTGCACAGGATCGCTATGAGTCAGAAGCAACTCCACGGCACACAACAACAACCACAACAACCACGTCAACTGACTGGAGGATGATGCAGTACTGGGCAGTGTTTTGTTCTATTATGTGTAAGGTTGCTATGAGTTAGAAATGATTTCACAGCACCCAACAGATTTTATATGGATTCCTGGTGTGGTGCTGTAGGATAAGCAGTGGACTGCTAACCACAAGATCAAAGGTTCAAACCCACCAGCTACTCCTCAGAAACCCTAGACAGGGTTGCTATGAGGCACTTAATACCAATGGTTTTGTAAGA